GCTGACTTGGGTTGAAACGTCAAGCGAAACTCTAGTCAGATAATGAATGCACCAACGAAGCGCACCTGTGCTCACCTCAACTTCTATCGGTGTTCGAAATAAATGGGGACTTTTAGTCCCCTACCCGTTGACTATGAGCAACAGCCATTGACACCCTTTTAAATTGCACTCCTAATATAAAGACATTTGCGTTCTGGTCTCTCACGATCACAGGCGTGTCGTTGCTAAGGTCGTTCCCAATCATAAGACTTCATGCACCCAACAATATAGCTCCAATTTTTAGATTTAGGGGGTGCATAAAGAGACCCAGATTATCGAGATTATTGAAGAATTCAAACGGAAAGGTGGCCTGCCAATCGACGTTATCACCACCATGATCGTTCTTCACAATGTCGATACTGTGATGTGTCCGCAATTCGCTTTCCAATTGGGACGGCACGTCCTCGTTGACCTAACGGGAATGCTCACTCTTGGGACACAGAATAAGCGCGTGTGCTTCTCACTTCGACATCGCAGACTCGATGTCATTGCCGAAACATCTCCTTCACCAGTTACCGGAGATACAATCGCCTGGTAAACGTACGGCGAGCTCAGCTGGATAGCCACCTGTATTCGTGGAAATATTTCATTGCCAACATCGAACAAAAATCGAATAAATCGAATTTCGTTTCCAGCAGCGCGCATGTTTTCTGTCAAACGAATCGTTCCGAACGATGACCACAACGGGCTCATTTCGACGCAAGTCTCAATTATTTAACCGCGAGATGCTTTGCGGACAACAGGCAACACTCGGCGAATGTCACCACTCAGCATAACCACTTACCCACGGACTCGGTCATCGTCCATCGAGTCTCGCAGCGCGCGTTCCATCGTTCCCTGCATTTCAGCGGGCGCCATCAGCGCCTCATCCTAAATGATGACGTCGGTAGCTGGAATCATCGCTTGATTTTTGCGCTGTCAATGACACGTTCAGTATATGAATTCGTGTGGTGTACAGGAATTGTTTGCCAGTGCCAATTGCTTCATCGATAAAAATCAGCGACGCTCTTCCCGTTCCAAATTTTCATTGACCGCTGCATTTAAACCACTTCATTCACATCATAAACGTAAAGTTGAGGATACGCTAGTTGCTAACTTTGATTTAGCGGAGGAAAGACATTGTTAAATGGATGTAGACTGGTCATAGTCAAATGATAGACCTCGCCGCATGCTTTAAAGCAGTAAGGACCGTTTCCCGAAGAGTCAACAATCGTTCCACAAAATCGTTCCACGCGTTTGCGCTGTTACACTGACTGATCAACTCCCAAAAATTGCGAGCGTTTGCCTCTTCCCCCATCAACAACGTATTCTACTCTGGCCGAAACTGCAGTGGGATCGAATGGAACATCGTAACATGATCGTGACAACAACCTTGCCGAAGTCTTCACTTCGGAGCGGAGTAAGACAAAACCAGGCAGTGGGAAACAGAGTACTCCACTTTCATAGGGATCGTGCGGTACGGCTGGAATGACGTTTGGCGTCCCAGTCAACGCAGCGAGAGTGTGGGTTAAAGGTTCGACGCCTTCACGCACTGCTCTCCGCGCAGCGTTGACATCCTCACGTTGCTCTACAATTAGTTCGTCTCTCCTCTATGGATCAACGTCTTCACGTTGCTTACTTCTCAGCGCAGACCTTCGCAGCCACGCCGCTTATCTTCCACGGGCGCATCGCATCCCACTTACTTAACACTTCGTGTGCAGCTTACGGAGAGCTCCGTATTTCAGTACTTTTGCGAGTCATTTTGCTTCACCAAGTCTTATCGTCACCGAGCTTAAGGTTAAGGTAACTGAGGCTTACGTCAGAGCAGCGGATCGACGGAGTAAATTGTCCTGTACGTAATGTGACAATCTATTTAACCCATACCCCCCCAACCAAGATTCTAGAAAGGCACATACTTGATGTCCTATCAGCTACACGAGGGAATCATGAAACGTACCTAGTCTATGCCATGGAAAGGAGAAGGCATCCAGGCTCATTGGCTTCCTAGCCTATGTCGTAGAGGGTCAAAAGCTATATAGGCCAGAGGCTGCACCTACCACAAAACGTTTTAGCGTATTCTAATGTACAGGGCGTTTCATTTAAATTGTACATCTTTGAACGCTCATATCTCTGAGAGGACGCAACCGTTCTTTACGAAATTTGACCACAATATAGAGCAACCTTAGCCGAATGGTTGGACAGAGTTTCTTAATCGCAGCGCCATCTATTGAGTTGAAACACCGATTCTGACAAAACTTCTGAAACCAAGATCTTATCAACTTGATGAAATCTTTTAAAGCTATCATTCGTTAGATAATGCCTTGATCCAGTGGTGCTGAAAATTTCATGATTGTATCTCATTTCCTTACTAAGATATCAATCGTCAAACCTTAGCCACTTAACCCATCCGCTTACACTTAATACTCTCAATGGCATGGATTTTTCCGATGTTTTGGCCTGAGCCCCTGTTACCATCGCCCTGACGCATGAG